AGAATTATTATGGAGGGTGGTTAGAGGTTCAGGTGAGGTGAGAAGAGGCATCTAGATAGGGATATGGATTTGCGGGAGGTTATCTTTAAATGGGTAAGAAGTAAACATGTTGATATACCGGATTTTGCCATGTATAATGTGCTCCCGTGTATAATGTGTCAACCTACGTTTTTGACCCAAACTTTCAAGGAATAAAAATCTTTAATTTCAATTAAAAGTTTTATTTGTTCACATTTAAGTTCTTGTTTTTTGTATTATAAAGGAATTTTAGCATTCATTTTTTTAACATGTATACAAGAAATTTTATGTAACAAATAATTACAAAATGCAAGAACAGGTACAATAAATTTTATGTATCATTAACAAATTTACGATATTTACATGTTATAGAAGGCCAAGAGTTCTTTGTCGTTGCAAGTTTTTCACCATAAGTTCAACAAAACCGATTATCATATTCCAGGGTATTATTTTGCATATGGATATCATTATTGATTTCTAGAGTTACACTTTTAACTCATAAGCATAAATAAAAGAATTAAAAACATTTATAAAGATACAGAATTAGCACTACCCATGTATAATACGCATCCTTGTTTTTCACAAATTTGGGCAAAAAAGTACGCATTATACTTGGCAAAATACGGTACTACTTGAAATGGGAATAATTGGTGTTCAAATCCCATGAAGGAGTGGCATCCAGAACCCTGGTGGAGGATTTGCCTTAGAGGAGAATGCCTCTGGCATTGTAATTGGAGGTAAGGCTAGGTGCCCATGCTGATGATAATAGTAACAAATGATTAACATTTATTGGGAGCTTACTATATACCAGGCACTGTTATAAGCAATTTATGACTGTATTAACTAATTCTCACAACAATGTTATCAGGTAAGGGTGTATAGGGAATGCTTCACAGAAGAGGTAAATGGTGTAAATGATTTTGATTGCCACTGGGAAGGGGCTTTCCAGAGGGTACAGTGAGAGTGAGAAACAGGCACTGAGGTAAAGCAACTGGCTCCAGATAACATCTCTTAGATCATGTAGCAGAGGTGGCAGGAAGTTGAGGTAATTCCATTTGATGCCTTTTTTTCTTTTTCAAATTTTATTGGGGAACAATGTGTTTTTTCTAGGATCCATCAGTTCCAAGTCAAGTTGTCACCCTTCAATCTTAGTTGTGGAGGGCGCAAGCTCAGCTCCAAGTCCAGTCGCCGTTTTCAATTTAGTTGTGGGGGACGCAGCCCACCATCCCAAGTGGGAATCAAACCAGCAACCTCGTTGTTAAGAGCACGCGTTCTAACCAGCTGAGCCATCCATCCGGCTGTCGGCAGCTCAGCTCAGGCGCAGCTCACTGGCCCATGTAGGACTTGAAACTGCAACCATGTTGCTCAGAGCTCGCACTTTAACCAACTGAGCCACCTGACCAGCCCTGCCTCCTTCCCCCCCCCCCCCCCCC